GTAGTCAATCAATGAGTATACTTCGCTTAAGAATTCTGTGGCGTCACCGTAAAGACCTGTAGCACCGATGAATCAGATGATGAGGGTGATTTGTGCATACTGATTTCTACGCCTAGTCGCAGTCGCTACTATGAACGCAACGATGAAAGTCTTTGAACTCACCCATAAGTATTGTACTCGTGGGATGTTTTCACGCATATGCCGTAATTGGTCGCCGCTAAATACGTAGGCCATTCCCTGACAATAAGTTCCGAGGTCAGAGCTATTGTATTCCTTGGATGAGAGGTACCTAAATTCGAAATTTATGAAAACATTTCTGGTGGAATGGTAACTGTTCACTTTTTTTTAAAGTTTTTATTCTGCTGGGTGCCGCCATGTTTCACTTGGTTGGTGAGTGGCATGCCACTGCCGCGCGCGGTCGCGTCGCGGTCGACTCACCCTCGACGGGAATTAGGTGTGTAAGAAAGACAATTTATGAAATTTCTTTTGAAGATGAGCTATTTGTGGCTGTGGTGTCCAGCTGCAGTTAATCAGAAAAACATTTTGAGTGCTTCATAAAATGGATACGCTATTACCAATGGATTGTAGTGGAATGTGAAGTGATATTTCCATTAATTCACTTCACTTTTCGTCGAGTGTGGGTAAGCAGGTCATTGCTGCGGCGCAGGCACGGACCTCCTGACCGTGGTCTAGGAGCAGATGCCATTTGTTCCAGGACAAATTGGTTTGACGAGGACATATTACAGTAAGCTGAGTCAAGCTAGCAGAAAACGGTGCACGTCAAGTGAGATTCTGTGCGTCGCCGCATTTCGGATCTCCTGACCCGTCTGATTCTTCGATAAGAGTAAAATTTGCAGGATAAATATTGAGTTGTCACTGACCATTTTGAAGCTGGATTTCGCACAACTGTACCATGCCTTAGTACACGACATCCAAGGATTCGTCTTGATGTACTGTACCTAAATCGTTTTCGTACTGTACTTCTGCTCTATAATTTCTTACCAAGCTTTTTATCGAGCATAGGTTTCAGAAATATGCTTATTCTCTATCGACAACGCCATTATCTGACAGCGCTTAAGATTAGGGGAGAGTATAGCTTTTCCAGCTGCCGTACTGAACCTCCTCTGGGAGACTGATTAACGGCGCAGCCTGTGTGGTGGTTTCTGATTCCTCATAGTAAGATCTGTTGTGCAGGAGGGGCTCAAAGAAGTCCCATGGCAGAATTGCACCCAGTTTAGGACATTTCGTCGCTAAACTAACTGAAGCGCTATTTCGTTAGGAGGACGCGGACGAACAGAGAGGGGCTTTTTGAGGAGGACGCAGACGAACAGGAGAGGGCTTGGGCTTTCACTTGGTTTCTCAGGTGCCCCATCCTCAAAGTGCCATAGTATCGAGATTCCTCAGAGGAAGCTTTTTCAATAGTCAGAGGTAGTGGAATGTAGACAAACCTGTCAATTAGATACTCTACGCCAACCCGATCCACCATGACGTCGTTCGTCGAGTTGAATACAAAAGCGCGGTGTCTCTCGGCCATGAATGACAATAGTTGAACCTGCTTGTGCCTTGGAAGTTTGTAATTCTATAAGTTGCCTTCAAATATGATAATGTAGGTGACGACTGAAAATGAGAAAGTGTTGTCTAGAAGAGAGAGGGAGAGAGAGAAAGAGAGAGAGAGAGAGAGAGAGACGAGAGGACTGAGAGAGAGGAGGAGAGTGTTCTAAGGAGAACGCTTAGTGTCGACCAGCGAATAGGAGAGAGAGCAGGGAGAGAGTAGGGGTAGGAGAGCATGCGAAAGAATGTTGAAGGAGAGGCAAACAGGTTGCTTATTAGGACGCACGGTGAAAGGCGGCGATCGGCGTCCTTCATCAACCGCTGACTTCAAGGCGCTTTCCAAGAATGCCCACCGGTCAGACGGAGGACGTAGCTGCGTATGTGATCAGTAGTTACCAACCTGAGCTAATATTGCTGGATAAGGCTGTCGATCGTATCGATTTGTACTAAGTCGTTGAACTTCTCTGCTTCCTTTTCATACTTGTCAGTGAACTCCGCTGTACTGCCAATGACGAATATGCGCCTTGCGTTGAGCTAAAGTCATCTTTAATTTTCATCAGTATTTCGTTTTTGGCACTGTTCGGCTTGGTGGGAGCATTTTGCTGGTTTCAATCGATCACTGCCGACTCCTTCCGTAGAGGCCTGTAAATTCCTGTGAAGCTATGCAATGATAGGAGCTTCATTCAGACCTGACAGCAATCTAGAGGTCTCCCCTAGGCGAGCCATGTAATTTAAAAGAAACTAACAAAAGAGACTAGCGGTAGTGCAAAATGCCCCTCCCAAGCCAGGCAGTGCCTTTATTTTTGGAATCTGGTCTTACAAACCGTCTCCAGCCAGGCGTCGTCGAGTTGCTTCCGCTGAAATTGTCGTTGAGCAATGTTGCGGACATCTGAATGGATAACGAACACTACGGTGGCGTTCGTCTCGCACAGCGAATGCGGCAAAAGACGAATTCGCGGCGCGAACGCCGCGTGTGGTTCGCGCGGCACCGCCGGCGAGTCAGCGGTCGAGTGGACCTGAGAAAAGACGCTTTTTGTCAAGGTAGATCCGATTGGAATTATAAGTTTAGGAGAACAGGCGGGACACAGTATTCAAAACTGCGCGTAAAATTAAGTGCGTGGGACGAGGGCACACAGTACACCTCAAATTACGCCTAGGCAGCACTTGGGTAGAGCTGGAGGGTAGATTTAGCGTCGCTTTTTGTTGGCTCCACCCCGAAGCTTTCGAGGAAGTGTAAAAGGCGTATAATACAGTTTCATAAGTTTCACAAAGTTGGGTAACTAAACCCGATCACGATGTGCTCTCTTCTGTGCGTTCACGGGACCGACATTTGATTTTACGCGCAATTTTTGGGGATACTGTATATCGTTTGTCTTCCTAATCTTATAACCTTGTAAGACCCGAACAGGAGCAGTAGGGTTTTGCCGGTCAAAGACCCACAAATTTCCCTGCAGTTTCTGTGCTCTCTCACTTACCGGGTGAACGTAAAGTGGTGACGGTAGGTTGTCACATG